GTGCTACAACTAAAAGGCTGCTCACCTGTGTGGGTTCTATGGTGTTTAGTAAGGTGAGAGGGCTGAGTAAATCTTCTTCCACATTCATCACACTTAAAAGGCTTCTCTCCTGTGTGAACTCTTTCATGTGTGTGTAGATTTGCTCTACAAACAAAGCTTTTCCCACACGATGAACATGTGTATGGTTTTATTCCTTGATGTGCCATGATGTGCCTCTTAAGATCTGAACGCAATCTAAACCTCCTATCACATTGTTCACATTTATGGGGATTCTCTCCACTGTGAAATCTCTGATGCTTAATAAGGCCAGAGATAACTCTGAAGCCTTTCTCACATTCCTGACACTTAAAAGGTCTGTCCACTGTGTGACCTTTCCTGTGATGATTGCTAAGTTCTGGAAGCTTTAGCTTAGAAGTTGAAAGATTCTTTCCCTTGTTCCTTGGAAAACCCTGACCCTCCTTCTCTACCATGGAAGTATCAATGTGATTTTCCTTGGCTGCTGTTTTTTGGACAACCTTCATTCTGGTCTTCCTTGATACTTGATGATCTCTTGCTTGTATTTTCCATGCAGAAGCTGATTCACGCTGATCGTTTCTGGTGTCGTTCTTGAGCTTTAACCCTGTGAACAAATAGAAGAATGAAATATGTTTTCAATAGCATAAAACTACATAAATAGAGAGAAAAACCAATAATGGTTTAGTCTGAGAAAATCACATAAATTTATCTCTCCCTGATGCTCCCTGCTAGGCAAAACAAAAAAACCATCAAATAATGACAGAAATAACCCAAAGAGCAATTTAAAAAGTGGAAAGATGCAAACTAGTTTGGGGCCCCATGGACAGAGGAATAACACAGCAGTGTATTATACCCCAAAAGCCAGCATAAAAGGTAACTCAGACACAGGGATTCTTATTTTTTCCCAACCCTGACTTGGAAACCTTATGACAACATCAAGCAAACCAAAGACAACTGGCAAATGGGATCAGCCTGGATTCTACCCACAGTGTGCAGCCAGGAGAGATGCTTGCCTTTTATACTCAGTACGAGATTTTCCCTAACCTGGTTGAAACACATCAAGGTATAAGCAGAACTGGCAAGGAACCAGCCAAATCAGTGAAAATTGAAAAGAATCCCCTTTAATATTGTAGACCTGAGATTTCCCCTCTTGAAAAAAAGATTCCAAAGTGAAGGATCATAGAACGTAAGAGTGAAACAGATACACGGGACCTCTTTTGGAAAGCTTCTTTCTCTGTGTGGGTCTCAATTCCTTTGCCCCTCTGAGAGATCCCCTGGTCAAGAGAAACCCCTTTCAGAGCTTCAGGTCACACCACTAGGGACCCATGGGAGTCTCAGCACCAGTACCATAAACCAAAGTTAATATCATAAAGGCTGTGAAAATTAAAA